AAATCGTGCGGGAAGAGCCATTTCCCGCACGCTCGTAGAAAAAAGTTTTTCCTACGAGCGTGCGGTAAAGTGCACTTTACCGCACGTATTTGCAAATGGAAAGTAGCACTTTACCGCACACTATGCGGTAAAGTTAACTTTACAGCATAGTGTGCGGTAAAGTGAACTTTACAGCATAATATGCGGTAAAGTGGACTACAAAGTGTGCGGTAAAGTGCACTTTACCGCATAGTGTGCGGTAAAGTAGAATTTGATATTTATAATCAAAAATCCTTTTTTTTTCAGAAAATGGATTTTTGATAATTTCTAAATCTAATCTAATTTCATTCATTAATCTGATTCAATAAATAATTTTATCAATGCCCTTTTTTGGAGATGTAGATGCTCATAGGTAAAATTTTGTACCTAACACATGCGGAAAGTGCCTTTACCGCCCTTAACGGCTGCCGTTGCGTGCGGTAAAGTATCACTTTCCGCATTTGTTAGGTAAATAACTATTACAGTTTAGCTGTCAGTTTTACAAGTCAGTAGAGCCATAGTAACTGGTAAAAATCAATTTTCGTTGTTTATGTTTTGACTTGATAAATGACGTTTTACAAATGAGTGACAAATAAAATAATTTACTGTCTGAGTTAGCGGATGAAGACCATTTTGCTTTTAGCAGCGGTGATATCAAATAAACCACTTATTACGAACACGAAAACTCGGACATTACCTCAACATATTCTTATCCTGGTTGGGCTTGTTCTTTTTTCTACCAGAAGTTTATGTTGATTTCCACCAAAAATTTGCTGTTGCATCAGCTGATTTCTGTCACGTGACTCTTTGATGTCATTGGTGAAAGCACCACATCACATATCACATATCCACCACAATTTACATAAAAGAACGCTTTGGGGCCGGTTTCTCAATAGCAGGTCACCTCCGGGTTAAGCTAACTCCAGGATAAACATTGCAATTTTATACGTTAACCCTGGAGTTAAAACCAACCCGGGGGTGACTCGCTATTGAGAAACCGGCCCTTGGTGGAGCAAAATCGAAAATATTTATATACCTAATTCTTATATTATCTGTGCTTCTAATTCAGAAAAATTGAAATGGACAATGCGAGCAAAGCTGCCATTGGGCCAAGAACATTAATTACAAAGCGAAATAGAATAAAAGACTTCTCAGAGGATCTCAATTTCTTTTGCAGCCAGTTTTTTCACTGAATATGACAAATCATTGTAGATAAGTTACGTCATCAGCTTCCTCTGGTTCTTCATTTCTCATCAACGGCGCCCGCAGAATTTGTCGCAGGGGGGGGGCAAATAAACTGCTCTTGGGGGAATCGTGGAAACCGCACCGCAGGCGGAAATTTTTTTTTCGGCCACACCCAAATTTTGCTAATTGTAACTAATATAATAAACATTAAAAAATAAAACAATTTGGAAATACTTTTATTTCGGACGGAAAAAAAAGTAAATTCTCTGTATCTTTTGATAGGTGCACAAATTACTTTTTCTGCGATTGACAAGAAATGTCAGCATTTTTGACTGGTTGACAGGTCGCAAAACTCAATATTCTGGTATTTTAATTTTGTTTCAATAGTTGCTAAGAAATCAATGAATAACAATACGGGAAACACTTTTCCGGCCTAGGCCGGGAAAGTGTGCGTGTCGCGTACTATCCTAACGAACCGTACCTTAAAATCACTGATCAGTTGGATTTTTGGAATCATATACCCCAAATTTAACAAAAAAACAATTAGTTGTTATCAAAAAAAATAAAAATGGAAATAGGTACCTAATTATTTTCATTTATTTTTTTCTCTTTTATTTTTAAGTATTTATATTAAAAGCCAGGGGGGGGCAGATGCCCCCCCCTGCCCCCCCCCCCCTCCGGGCGCCCATGTTTCTCATCTTATAGCAGCTTCTAATAAATGAGCTAAGAAACAGATAAAAGACTACGCAGGTCACACAACAAGCAGACAGTAGGTAATTTTTTAAGGTTATGTGATCTACCAACGCAAAACCACCAGAGTAATCTAGGGTTGCCAACCGTCCTGCATTTCGGCGGACGTCCACCATTTGGGGTTCATTGTCCAGTGTCCTGCAACGACCTATTGCAGGACGCCTATTGTACTTAATTTTTAACTTCTGGAAAAGGAATTCTGTCAAATTAAGCCGCGGGCTATAAGGAAAATCATACATTTCTTGAAAATAGCTATTTTCCTAATGAGTGCGGAAATTTCTTCCCGCAAGAATTAGGAACTAAGTATATTTTTTTTTACGAGCATACTAACGGTGATGTTACGAAAAGTTTAATTTAAATAAAATGCGATTGTGCAGAAGGTGGAATTAAAAATGTATTTATTTGTCATTTATTTGTAAAACGTCATTTATCAAGTTAAAACATAAACAACGAAAATTGATTTTTACCAGTTACTATGGCTCTACTGACTTGTAAAATTGACAGCTAAACTGTAATAGTTATTGACCTAACAAATGCGGAAAGTGATACTTTACCGCACGCAACGGCAGTTGGTACAATGGTACCATCGTCACCAAAAGTAACTGGGACACAAATAATGCATAATAATCTCCTGGACTAATTCTACTGTCATTCATTTCAATGCATTTAATGCATAGTTTGACAAATATTTGACAATAAAATTCATATATAATAGGACAAGAGCTAATGTGATGCTGTCCCAGTTACTTTTGGTGACGATGGTACCATCGTCACCAAAAGTAACTGGGACAGCATCATATTAGCTCTTGTACTATTATATGATTTTAGATGTCAGGTATTTGTCAAACTATGAATAATTTTAGGTTTATCTAGGTTAACTTGGAATAGTCCAGTAGGAGATTAATATCAATTATTTTTGTCCCAGTTACTTTTGGTGACGATGGGTACATAAAATTACCATTACATATATTGACAGCATTGAGGATGGGTATAGTCGTATTCACGAGAGAGTTTAAATTTTTACCGTTATTTTCACTAGTTGAAAATAAATAAAATCCCCAGATCTGTCCCTTTTTCTGACAACTATCAAATAATGATACATGACATTTTGATTTGATATATAAAAATATCAGATTCGGGTCTTTGAATTTTGAATTTCGAATTTTTGTGTGAAATCTTTCAGTTTTTTGCCGTTTACTGCATTATTTTTTTATTTGTTATTCTCGCAATCGGTTTTTTGGTTTTTTATGTAGTGTTCTGTGCCTTTGTGTTTCGGTGTTGCGTTTCAAACTTGGTTTTAGTTTGGATTTAAGTGTTTACTCTTTTTATAAGTGTTTACTTTGGACTCTAATTTAAGGATTTTTGGATTTTAATAACTTAACTACCTTTAAAGAAATTGAAAATAAATTTTTATTCTGAAATGTATATTACTTTTCTAAATACGACCCTGTCGCTTATCCCAGCTGACGGAATCGAAGCGCTAATGCATGCTGACAACCTAAAGAAAAAGTTTACTAAAAATGTCAACGCGAACTGTCAACTTCACTTTCTATCGTGATTCAGTCTATGTCTATACCTATTAATTTTCCAGCACGCGTGCCGAAGTGCCACTTCGCTACCCAGATTGATTGAGGATGTAGCTTAAAGCGAAAGCCAGCGCAATCATAACCTGTGGTGCAGTGTTGTCGAAGCTACCGAAATTTCGGTATTTCTACCGAAATGGCAACGGACCTACCGACCTACCGAATACTAAAATTTTTACCGATTTTCGACAATAATTACGATTCTACCGATTTTTTCACCGTTTTTTGCCAAAAAATCAATTTTATCGGTTTTTTTTTCGCCGATTTTTCTTTCTATCGATAACCGCTCGATCTACTATCGAATTGTTTGTTCGTGTCAGAACTGTCAGATGCCAAATAGACCCTCCGACGACAAATTTGTTAGCAATGGTTGGTATCAGTGCATTTCTTTCGGGGAATACCCGTGGGTCTTGTGATATCCGAATTTATTTTTAATATCTTGTCATTGCGCCATTCCATACTTCCGCCAATGTTGAGCGCACATTCTCAGCAATAAATCGAATGAAAACAGCACAAAGAAATAGACTTTTCACGGAAAGAATCGTCAATCACTGGGCTTTTACATACTAAACGAAATAAAAAACCAAAAGCAAAACACGGCTGGATTTTAGCAAAGATAATCCTACTCCTGCTCCTACACACTACTACTACAGGATAGCTTATCCTCATAAGACCTGTGTAGAAGAAATTTGTAGCCCCTCACTACGCCAAATCACCAGTTGTGACGTAGGCAGCACATTGTTTCTCGCCTTGACGTGGGCTGTTTGCATCACAGGCTATGATTCCGCGGTCTTTTGCCTTATGCATACTTGGTCTTACTACATTAATAATTAACATTAACAACTCCTGTTTAGATCTCGTTTGCATTCCTCTTTGCCTATTATATTGATCAAAATTAAATGATATTTTTCATCATAAATTTAAATTCTAAACTAGGACCGCTGGCGCAAACAGCTGACGATTTAGTTAATGACGTCGGCAAGGGTGATACACCAATATGGCCGCGTTTACCGAAAACGGGGCCGATAAGCAATCCTTAGTAGTGTGTATTATCCTTGTGTTTTACCTACCGATTTTGCGCAGTAATCTACCGATTTTCAACGTTAGTTTCTCCCGATTTAGTGTTTTGACGTTCGACAACACTGCTGTGGTGCAAAAACCCCAAGGATAATACACAATGCTACTACAGGATAGCCTATCCTCATAAGGCTTGTGTGGAAAAAATTTGAAGCTCCTCACAACGCCAAATCACCAGTTGGGACGTAGGCAGCATGTCCTTTCTTGCCTTGACGTCGGACGTGGGCTGTTTGCACTACAGGTTATGATTCCGCGGGCTTTTGCTTTGGTTTCTTTTTTAGATCTCGTTTTCGTCTTCCTATTTGCCTATTATGTTAATCAAAATTAAATAATATTTTTCATCATAAATTTAAATTCTAAACTACGACTGCTAGTGCAAACCGCTGACGACTTAGTTATGACGTAGGAAATGGTAACACACCAATATGGCGGCGATTACCAAAAACATTGCCAAAAACGAGGCCGATAAGCAATCCTTAGTGTGTATTATCCTTGGGTACCGACTACCGAACTCCGACCGGCATCTACCAAACGGGACGTGGGACGTGTGTCCTATCCCCGTTGAGATATCCCGAGTTAAGAATACACCTACGTTTACCCTTGACGTTTACAGAATCAATCATATAAACTTGAATACAAAATTTGCTTTTGAAGTGACTTGTTTACTCTTTGGAATAAATTATTAAAATTTTATTGTTATCACAAAAGAAACAATTTAAAATACTCGTACTCTGTTGACTTATGAATTAATCATTCATTGTATAGCCTGGCTTGCTAAATAAACCACTCCACACAACACAATAACCAAATTTAAATTTTATATAGCAAAAGAAGAGGTTTTTAGGAATTTTGCAATATGGTAAGAAGAACTAGTTTTTATGTATTTCAGCTATTTTTTCAACACTATAGACAATAATATTATGTTTACAGGCAGGTCAAGAACACGAATTTAAAGTAAAGATGACTTGCGAAGGCTGTTCTGGGGCTGTTGAAAGAGTTCTAAATAAAAATAAAGGTTAGTATTGTAGGTGGATTAGATGCTATCTCTACAAATCTACCTGCAATCTGGAAAACATCTAATGCACGGGCCAAGGCCAAGTTAACAGGTTGCCTGGTAATGGGTAACTTGATGCATCTGGGGTGCCTTATGTTGAGGCACCCCATATGACGTCATAGAGTTATCAGGCAACATTCATGGTGTATATTCCTATCCATCAGAAAAATCCTCATATGGGTTGTATTTAATTTTAATTTTCCCAATATTTATATATCCCTATTGATTTTAGATAAGATAGAAACATTCAGCATAAACCTAAAAGATCAACGCGTTAAAGTAAAGTCAGCTTTGTCTGCTGATGAAGTGCTCGAGATGATAAAGAAAACAGGTAAAGATACTGAACATGTCTCCACTACATTATGTTGATGCATAAACTGAAAAATCAAGGACTTTTCACATCATTAATGGTTGGGTATTTTATGTATAAGAAGCAGCTATACACTTTATTAAATTTGTCTATAATTTTTTTATCATTTAATTGTTTGTATTTATAATAGTCTTTCAATAAAATAACTCTCAAGATATACCTCCTATGATATTTATTTTAATTGGAATATTATAACAATAATTATGGGATGAGGAGTGAGATTCATTTACTTGAAGTAGAGCATGAACATTTATTGTGCACTAGTCGCCTAGTGAAATGAATAAATGAAAAGCAGTGTTACAATGTAGGTACATTACAAAGTATTGATAGTTATTTACCTAATAAATGCGGAAAGTGATATTTTACCGCACGCAAGGGCAGTTGACCTACCGCACTTTCCGCATACTCTCAGATAAATATATTTATCCAACACTAACATAATATAACGACACTTTAATTAATTGGCATGATTTTAAATGAATAATGAGGCCAATCAGTTACTCTTTTAGTGAGGAGTGACCCCTATAACTCACTTCCTGATACACACAAGTGTTGATGGTAATTAATTTAAAAAAAAAATGTAATATGCATGCTCAAATGTTACTTCCACTGAAATATGGGCAATAATTCTAGCCACCAAGGCCATGCTGTTCTTTTGTCATGTATGTGCTGGCTCAGTCAAATTGTTACCATCATTCACACACATAATACCAAAAATTGAAGCTGAACTTAAGCAAGCCACATCACAGGTTCGAGAGGTAAAAACAATGTTGAAAGAGGTGGAAGCAAAACAACAGCTTTAAGCAGTGAAATGCAAAGCTTGCAGCAACATCCCAGCCACAATTCAACAATCTTACCTTAAAAGACTGGAAGCTTGGAAGCAGAAACAACAGCCTTAAGCAGTGAAATGCAATAATTGCAACAACATATCAATCGAAATCCAAGCTACGCTGAGAAAACATCGGTGAAACAGAGTTGAGAAAATTGGAAAGGATGTTAAAACAACTGCGGTTTTCTCAGATACTGCATCCCAACCCGAAGTAGAACCTGCCATCTATGAGATACTGGAAAGAGAGCGTAGGAAGGTTAACGTGCTCATATTTGGACTAAATAAAAGTGAGGCAGATACAAGAGAGGCAGCATGGAGAACGAAATAAAGGCAGTGGGAGATCCTATAAAGTTAGTGAACCCTAATGCACCTCTCGTCTCGCAAATATTAAAACAGTTCGGCTTGACCAATTCACACTAGGAAGAGTTAGGCCAGTCAAAGTGATTTTCAATACGGAAGTAGATGCGTTGTCCGTTCTCAGATTCAAGAGTAAACTGGATGGAACAGGAACATATTTAAAAATACGACCAAACTAAAGCACGAAAAGCCTGCTTAGGCAAGGTTATACTAGAACTTGAAGAGAAAACAGCAAAGAGTGAGATAAATATCAAAATCAAATATTATAATGGTACCCCCAAAGATCGTCAAATCCAGAGAAGCCATGGCAAATGCTGAAGGCGGCAAAAAAACTCCCAATATAGTCTGAAGTTATATTTTACTATACTATGCCAACAGTGCCGGCCCGAGGTTACTTTTAGGATGGAGTGAGATCTGACTTTGGCGCCCCTAATTAAGTGAATGTAAATCGTATACTCTATCCACCGATCAGAGCTGTTCTAAACTTAAAATGTCAAGTAAATTAACTTGAATTTCCCAAATTCACAGTACTTGAATTTCCCAAATTCAAGTACAAGTACCAAATTCCACGGAAGTCAGAGTCAAGTTATAGTATTAACTTAAACTTGCGTAGGTAGGTACTTGAAATGACATTCACGTAGAAATACTTCAAAAAATAATATAGGTATTTTTTCTTTCAAGTATTATTCAAATTAAAAACAAATTAAATTATTGCTATCCATAATCTTAAACAGGGTGTGACCCAAAAATAAGTTTTAGAAAAAAAAAATCTAAGAACAAATTTTCAAACCGCACCAACCGCTGCGAAGATACTGTGATATAAAATTCCTACTCCTAGCACTGTGACGTCATATGCACAAACTGAGTCCGACAGCCGGCGCTGGCGCGCGTATGCTGATTCTTGCTGCATATGTTAGCTCAGTTCCAACCGACAGGAGAACCGTTCCAGAACCAGTAATTTCCAGTTGTCCACCTATTTTTCAAAAAATTGAACATTTATTCTACTTGACAAATGAATTGATCAACTGGAAATTACTGTTCTAGAACGTTTCTCATGTCGGTTGGAAAAGAGCTATTATCGACATTATCGTATCGTTTTTGCGTTCTCACATCTATTGCTGCGTCAGTTTAAATAGGTTTTACAATTTTTGTGTGTATTTATGACGTCACGCGATGAATAGACATAATTTTATTTAGTCGTATCTACCTTATTATTTTGAGTAGCGATGCGAGATTTTCAAAAAAGTTCTTAGAATATTCTTCTTTATTTTCTGAATACAAGTTGTATTTTAAGGTTACACCCCCTTTAATAGGAGAGATTCAGTATAGGCGCCACAGGAATTGGTATTGGGACTATTGGGAGACGCCAGCTGGGCTCTTCCTACCTACTGGGTGGGTTTCAGCTGCTGTCTTATCACAGACTTACCACCCTTTTGCTCGCAAGCAGAATAGCAGAATATCGAAAAGCGAAGACAGGATTCAGAGCAGTGTGTCTATCTGATTGTAAAAATCATAGCTCCGTTATCCTGGACTATTTCTCCATAAAATTACAATATGTTGAAGCTAAAATTTAAGCTTCCTTAGTAAATAAAAAAAAATTGGTTAATCTAGGTTTCTAGAATTTTTAGAAAAAAAAATCAGGAATGAGGCAATCAGGCTATGGCAAAGATATCACTAATAGTAGGAGAGCATAGGCAATATTAACGGGTATGTGATCGTTGCAATGGATAATTTTCACATAAAACAACTCATAGTTACCTTTAAGCTAAATGGGTGGGTGGCCTCGATTCTCATGGCCGCAACCCTTTGATGGCTGGGCGTAAACTACCCCTCTTTTTCCGAAGGAACAATGTTATTGTTGCAGTAGCTGAAATTTGGTAGATATTATCTTTAATATGTCTTCTCAAATAATATATAGGGTGGCCTCGATTTTGATGGCCGGAAATGATGGCAACCCTCATTGAAAGTCGAGGGCACGCGTTATTTTGCTTGCTAAATACAAATTTTTGAAAGTGACAGCCTTCAAAGTCACTTTCAAAGTTAAAAGAGGACTCTGTGAAGAGGATTTTGCATACAGCTGTAGAGCCATCAGGCCATGGCAAAGATATCACTAAGTGTGTCTATTTAATTGTAAAAATCATAGCTCGGTTATCCAGAACTATTTTTCAATAAAATTTTAATATGTTGAAACCGAAACCTTCCTCAATAAGCCAAAAAATATATGGCTCCTCCAGGTTTCCCAGATTTCCAGGAAAAAAGTCAGAAATCAGGCCATAGGCTGTAATGCAAAAATATCACTCAATGGAGCTTCGGATTAAAAAAATCGTAACTCAGCTATCTTTGGTTTTCATCCAATCAAATTTTGGTATGTCAAAGCTAAAAGGCTCCTAGATATATAAAAAAATTCTACATTTCCCAAAGTTTCCCAGATTTCCAGAGAAAAAATCAAAAATTAGGCCATAGGCTGTAATGCAAAAATATCGTTCGGATAAACAGATTTCAGAAACATATTTTTCTCTTTTTTTTTTTCATCAAGGAACAAGTCGGAGGCGCCCCTCGAGGTCTGGCGCCTGGAGCGCTCGCTCCATTCGCCTTATGGTAGGGCCGGCCCTGAATGCCAACTCACTAAACAATAAAATTCATGAATTTCAGACAGACGTGCTCAGAAAGAACCCAACTTTCATTCTGGTTACCGAGACATGGTTTCACAATGGAACCCCGGACTCACTCATATGCCTACCTGGATATCATATGTTCAGGGATGAACGTGAGGATCAACAAGGAGGAGCAGGAGTCTGCATCTGGATAAAAACCAGAGGCTTCTGGACACTTAATTTCAAAGAAACATTTGAGCAAAACATAGACGCTGTTATCTGGGGAGACAGACAGTGTTAACACTGTGGATTTTATTGATGCCTAAGGAATGGAATTGTAGACAGCTATTCAAGGGGAGATACAAGGTTTCAGGGCGCTCAATCATCTTTGTTGGACTTACTGCTGGTAACTGACAAAAAAATTATCTCAAATATTGAACATCACCCACCACTGGGGCTGAGCGACCATGGAGTTATCAAGGCCATGGCACAGTTAAGACTTGGGCAACGGCCAACTAGAAAAGTACTTAAACGTAACTTCTCTAGAAGACAGCAATAATAATGTCTATATTAATAACAGGCTTGCAGGCACAAATACTGACAATATGGAATTTAGTGAATTTGAGGGCATAGTGAAGGAAACCATTGAAACCTTTATCCCAGTCAAACCTAAGCTTTTGAATCATAGAAAACCATGGTTAAATAATGCAATATTTGGAGCAATCGAGGGAAAATGAACACCTTTGGAATAAATACGCCAAAAACAAAACAGCAGATAATTACAATTTGTACAGAACTCAAAATAACAGCGTATGTTAAGCGAACATTAAACAGCAACGCATCCGAGCTTGTGCTCAGAGAACCAATCACGAGAGTCAATATCTCTGATCCTCAGAAGACAGCTAACACATTCGCGGATCACTTTGTGAAGGTATACATCAGAGAAAACCTAGTAAATTTTCCATCGCTACTGCAGAATACTGGATCTATTGAATCATTAACAACTATAGATGTCACTGAGAAAAAGGTTGTTCAAGCAATCTCGACTCTGGAAAGAGAATCTAGTCCAGGCCCGGATGAAATACCGGCAATATTTTTAATAAATTGCCAAAGGACCTTGGCTCGAGTGATAACCGGCCTCTTGCAGTCAATAATCACTCAGCAAACTGTGCCACAGGGATGGTCTCGAGCATACGTATTGCCAGTCTACAAAAAAGGAGATAAGCTTAACCCTGGGAAATTACAGACCAATTAGCCTTACCTGTAACCTCCGTAAGATCATGGAAAAAATAATAGTTCGGGAAATGACATCTTTCCTTGTTAGAAACAAGACCATCCCGCCCACCCAACCCGTTCCTCCGACGATCAACCACCACCAC